TTCATCACCATAGGCTCTTGCTCAAATGTTATTTCATTAAATTCTTCTCTATCTGCCAATTCCTTTCGATACAATGACTCAGCATATTCCTTCCATCTTCTTTTAATACTTCCTGGATCATTTGATATTTTGCCTAAAGCATCCTTGATTATGGCAACTCTACGTTTGAATTTGTTCTTCAGTTTCTTGAGCTCAAGAAATGCTGAACGAGTTTGACCCTTTTGATTTTCCGACTCTAGCTCCTCGCACATTTCACTGTAGTATTTTGCTTTGTCCTTCCAAGCTGCCTTTTGGAATCTTCTGTTCAGCTCTTTAGTATCTTGAATTCTTCCTTGTGCTTTGACTTCTCTACGCTCCAGTGCAATCTTCAATTTCTTCTGACATCCATTTTGGTCTTTTCTTCCTCTTCTGTCTTTGTAATGACCATTTGCACTCTTCCTGGATGATACATTTGACATCCTCCAACAACTTATCTGGTCTTCGCTCATTAGTGTTCAAGGCCTCAAACCTGTTCCTGCGATGATTCTGAAATTCGGGTGGTATGAAATCGAAGTCATATTTTGGCTCCTGTGGATTTGGTTTAATTTTCCTCAGCTTCAGTTTCAACTTGCATATATGTAGTTGGTGGTCTGTTCCACAATCATCCCCTGGCCTAGTTTTCACAGCTGATATTGAGCTTCTCCCGCTATTTTTTTCCACAGATGTAATTGATCTGATTCCTGTGCATACCATCAGGTGAAATCCATGTGCACAACCTGCATTTATGTTTCTTATAAAACGTATTTGCAATGAATAAGTCATTGATTGTACAAAATTCAATCATTCTATCTCCAGCTTCATTTCTTTCACCAAGCACATATTTTCCAACTACTGATTCTTCTCTGTTTTGAAATTAAAAAGTTTCATGCCATGAATAGTAATGAAAACACCACTTACCAAAACCTCTGGGAAACTACCAAAGCAATAATGAATTTATAGCAATAAGAAAACACATCAGAGTTCAGGAAAAAATTACCATTGACTCTCTAACCCAACATATCCAACAAATTGAAAAAGAACAGCAAGAAAACTCGACACCCTCTAAATAAACTGAAATTATAAATATTAGGGGAGAAATAAATTACATGGAAAACAGAAAAACAATTGAAACCATCAACAAAACTAGGAGTTGATTCTTTGGAAAGGTCAATAAAATCAACAAACCTCTAGCAAAACTAACAAAGGAAAAGACACAAATAATCTCAATAAAAGATGAAACAGACAATGTCACAACAGAATCAACTTAAATAAAAAGGCTAACAATGGAATATTATTAAAAACTACAGGAGCTTCAGGCCTTTTGTTCATAGGGTCACTGTGAGTTGTGCTTGATTCAAAGGCAATCAACAACAGTATACTCAAAAAATACGAAAACTAGAGAAAATGGATAAATACTTAAAAATTCACAACCTACCTAAACTGACACCAACTGAAATTGAACACCTGAACAGACCATTACAAAAGAAGAAATTGAAAAGGTAATAAAGCGACTTCCAGCCAAAAAAAGCCCTGGACCAGATGGTTTTACAAGTGAATTTTATCAGACTTTCAGAGAAGAATTGTCACCAGTTCTACATAAACTATTTCAGAAAATAGGAAAAGATGTAATTCTCCCAGACTCATTCTATGAAGCAAACATACCCTTGATACCAAAACCAGGTAAAGACACCACCAAAAACAGAAAACTATAGGCCACTATTGTTCATGAACACAGATACAAAAATCTTGAATAAATCCTGGCCAACACAATCCAGCAATACATAAAAAAATAAATTATTTCACCATGACCAAGTGGGATTCATAACAGGTATGTAAGGATTTTTAAACATAAGAAAAACAATCTGTATAATTCATCATAATAACAAAGCAAAGAACAAGAACCATATGATTCTATCAGTTAGTACAGAAAAGCCCTTTGACAAAATCCAACACCCTGTCTTGATTAAAGCACTCAACAAAATAGGATTAAAGGGGAATTTCTTCAACATAGTAAAAAGTGTATACACAAACCCGAGAGCCAACATTGTTCTCAATGGAGAGAGGTTAAAGGCATTCCCTTTCAGAACAGGAGCTAGTCCAGGATGCCTACTATTGCCTCTCCTATTCAGTATTGTACTAGAATTCTTAGAGATCGCAATAAGAGGAGATAATTAGTATCTAAATTGGCAAAGAGGAGGTAAAATTATCTCTGTATCTAGATGATATGATAGTATACTTAGAAAACCCTAAAGACTAAGCAAGAAAACAACTGGACATAGTTGACCAATTCAGCAAAGTGGCAGGATACAAGATCAACATACAAAAATCAATTGGATTTCTCTATACTGAGAAAGAGAATATAGAGGTGGAGCTAAGAGAAACAACACCCTTAGCTAATCGCCAGATTAAATACTTGGGAGTAAATCTAACCAGAAATACAAAGGAGCTATTTAAAGAAAATTAGAAAACATTACTGCAAGAAACAAAAAGATACCTGGAGATATGGAAGAATATAACCTGCTCTTCAATAGGAAGACTCAGTATTGTGAAAATGGCTGTACACATTCACCGCAATCCCAGTATATATACTGGTTCAATTCTTCAGTGGGACGGGATGGAAAAGGCTATCTCCAGTTTCATTTGGAGTGGAAAGAGGCCTCAAATAAGCAAAGCACTCCTTAAAAAGGGAAACATCGTAGGAGGCATTTCACTCCCTGATTTCAGTTTCTACTACACTACTGTGTTGGTCAACACAGCATGGAACTGGTACAATGAATGACAGACACATTGATCAATGGAGTGGAATTGAGAACCCAGAAATCAACACATCTGCCTATGGACAACTGATTTTTGACAAAGAGATGAAATCAGTTAAGTAGGATAATGACAACCTTTTTAATAAATGGTGTTGGCAAAATTGGAAAACTGCAGAATACTCAAGCAAGATCCACACCTCACACCATATACAAAACCCAACTCTAAGTGGATCAAGGACCTAGGACTAAAACCAAGGACTATAAACTTTATTAGAGAAAAGCTTGGAAGGACTCTAGAAGCCCTAATCCACAACATAAACAGTCTTTCATGCATCCTGAAAAAACTACAGCCAGGAGAAGGTAAAATAGATGAATGGGACCTTCTAAGAATCAAATCCCTATCACATCCCAAAACTTCTCTAACCAGGGTAAAATGGGCAGCCACAGACTGGGAAAGAAATATTTGGCAATGACATGTCTAATAAGGGACTTATAGCTAGAATTTATAGAATAGTCAAGCACTGCAACAAGATAAATGTAAATAACCCAATTGAAAATGGGCAGAGGATATGAACAGACACCACCAAAGAACACGTTCAGCTGTCAAACAAACACATGAAGAAATGTTCAAAATCTCTAGTTCTAAGAGAGATACAAATCAAAACAACTATGAGATATCATCTCACTCCAGTAAGAATAGCAAAATTCAAGAGAGCAGCAAACAAATGCTAGTGAGGGTGTGGAGAAAATGCAACCCTTATTTGCTATTGGTGAGAGTGTAAAATGGTGTAACCACAATGGAAGGCAATATGGCTCTTTCTAAAATAGTTGGAAATAGAGATACCATTTAACCCAGAAATTCCACTACTGTGAATATATCCTAAAGAAACCAGAACTGCCACCCAAGCAGATATATGCACACCCATGTTTATTGTTGCTTTGTTCACAGTAGCAAAGAGTTTGAAATAACCC